CTGGGGATAGGGAGTTATAGGGGTAGGGGATGTTCCTGGAAGGTGGGCTGACCGGCTGGAGGGGAGGGGAGGAGGGGAGGGGAGGGGAGGAGGTGCGTTGGGGCAGCCGAGGAGGAGGTAACTTCACGAAAGTAACACGCGGAAGGGGTGGGTTGCGGGGAAAGACGAACCATGAACGAGTGAACCTGCTGCCAAGGAAAGAGTGTACAAGAAGCAGAACTGACCAGGATGGGGGGTGGGGGGAGAAAAGGACGATGAGGATGAACACAACCCTGAAAACACAACCACTCGCAACGGCAGAGTCACCCAGCAGCAGGAGGAGACGCAGCAACAGCAGCAGTAGCCGCACAGCCGCAGGAGCGGCGGCCCCCAAAACCCCAGGTTGCTCATTACGGCAAGTGCGCCGTATCTTTTATGTTACCCCCAAAACACCGCCTGCCTCCTCTCCCTCCCTCTCCACTTCCCTCCCTCCCTTCCTTCCCCCACCCCCTCCACCCACTCAGGAGCGCCAGCTGTGTGGTGATGCACCAGCCCACCGCATCCGCGGGCTCGTGGAAGGCCATCAGGAAGGCGTCACCCTGGAAGGGGGTAGGGGGGTAGGGGGGGAAGACGAACCACACGCGAGGGGGTAGGGGGGGTAGGGGGGAAGACGAACCACGAGCGAGTGAAGGTGATGCCAAGGAAAGGGGGTAGGGGGGAAGGGAAGGAATCCTAGTAGGCGATCAGCAAAGGACCGACTGCAGACGGGGGTTTGGGGGGAAAAAAGTGGGCAGCATGGGAGGAAGGGAGCGGCCCAGGAGGAGGAAGAGGAGGAGGCGGGAAACTCGCTGACAAGGCCAGCCAGGTCAGGAAGGACAAAGAGCAACGAGGGAGCGCGGGCTAATTCCGTGCGAGGTTGGAAAAACGACCAACAACGTCTGGAGGGGAATAGAGGGAGCACGAGGAAGCAAAGAGAGAGAAAGTGGTGTTGTGTGCGTCATGCCATGCATATCGCCCCAACCGTGCCTACCCCCACAGACAACCCCCGCCTCACCCACTGCTCCCCAACCCCCGAGCCCCATCCAGCCAACCCCCCATCCTCGCCCCCTATCACCACCAACACCACCAACACTACCCATTTACCCCCCAGTACAGACATACATACTCACGCACCTCCGTCTGCACCTCGTAGCCGTACCACTTGGACATCTGCGATCTCAACGTGTGGTCATGCAGGTCGATGGCGGACGCCATGAGGTCCGTGTCCCACTCCCACAGCTCAGTACTGCCCTCAACTGGGGGGGGGAGGAGGGGGAGAAAGTGGGGGGAATATTGGGGGAGTGGGGAAGGCGGGGAAATAGAGGGGGAAATACATGCAAGATTGGGGGTTGGAGGATGGGAAGTATATGCAAACGTGGTGGGGAGGGGACCACATGCACAAAGTCAAGGAAACAACAGCATGCTCAAGTAAAAGACGGGGGGGGACGGGGCCGTGCTGGCAACCATATCAGCTACCGATGATGACGTCCGCAGCGGCCGTGGTGGGGAGCCGTGTGGGGGGACTGGGGGAAAGGAGGGGAGCAGCGGGGAGTTGGCGGAAAGAGGCGAAATGGCCCAGAAAGGTAGGGGATGAACGGGTGTAAGGGGGGGGGTACGGAATTACCACAGGGGTACTACCGGGGTAAGGAAACGCACTGATCATCCCAACTGGTGATGTCAACTTGGGGTTTCTCCCCCCTTCCCCCCATTTCTCACCCCCCCTTCCCCCCAAAGCTCCAAATACACACACACACATATTCCTCACCGTCCGTGAGCACCAATGTGACCACACATCCCCCTGTACGGCGACTGGAACCTGCGAAAAACACACCAACACAAGACAACACGGAGGGTGACTGGAGTAAGACAGAGACAACGGCAGTAGCAGCAGCAACGTCAGCGGAACATGCAGTCGCAGGGGTAACAGAGGCAGTAGCAGCAGGAGGAGCGAGCAGCAGCACCATTACCTGACCCACCCTGACCCACCCACCCAGCCCAAACTCTACATCAACATCCCCATACATATACACACGCACACACATACACAACCAACCCGCCCCGCCCCGGGCCCCCCCACCCCCACCCCTACCTGGCGGCATCCTCTTGGCCAGCATCGTCCGATACCGCACCACCGAGGGCACCAAGCGGTACGCCAGTACCAGCAGCAGCATCAGGCCCACCAGGCCCCCCAGCACCAGCAACAAAATGCCCCACCAGGGCACCAGGGGGACGTGACCAGACCCATGCCGTACAGATACGCAGCGCATGCTGATTACCGGGCCGAGGCTGGACGGGGAGGCGCTACTGCCGCTACTGCTGGTGGTGGTGGTGGTGGTGTTGCGGGGCGGTCCCCGGGTGTAGTTCGCCGTAAAGCCGTCCTTGCACGTACATCCGCCGTACTGCCAGTAGTACGGCGCGATGCCGACGGGTGTTGAGCCGCGCAGTACCGGCATGGGGCATGTGGGGCTGTCCAGGTCGCTGCTGGTGACGAGGGTGCTGCGGGTTCCCCGTCCCGTCCCGTACCAGTATTGTATTGGGGGGTGAGAGGGGGGAAACGAGGCAGCCGGGGAAGGGGGGAAAGCGGAGGGAGGGGGAAAAGATGAACCACGAGCGAGTGAAGCTGATGCCAAGTGCGAAGGGAGGGGGGCGGAATCAGATGCAAAAAGGAAACAAGAAATGGACAGCCGGCATCCAAGCTTCGAAACTGCCCCTAGTTAGTGAGTCCTAACGAGCTCCTAACGGGGGTGGGAGGGTGAGATGCGGACGGGGGGGAGGGAGTTCTGGGGATCCCGCTGGCGGGGAGGGCATGCAAAATGGTGTGTGTGGAGGTGTGTGTGGAGATGTGTGTGTGGAGATGTGTGTGTGAGAGGGGGGAGAGCGGAGAGTAAGACGAACCACGGGGGAGCGGGAGGGAAGGGTATAATTGAAACCCTGGCATGCACTAGCCAAGAGGCACAAAGACCTGAAGGCGTGGACCCGATGGCAAGCATGCAGACGTGTGATATATACGCAAGTTGTTGCGCCGCAATGCGATAACGTTATGGATTAGGTAATGGCCAACGTTGCCCCAACACAATACCCAAACCCTCTTTTCCCCACATCTCACTCAACGCACACATACATACATGCAAACACACACACGCACATACACACGTTTTCCATACCTGGACAATGTCACCTGCGGTGGAAGCCCCGTCATCCCCGCCAACGCCGCTTGCATGCCCGTGTTACGAATGTCAAAGTACGACAGCTGGCCGGTTTTCGCCAGCTCGTCTGGCAGTGTACCGTTGAGCTGGGGGTTATCGTTCAGCAACAGAGTAACCACCGAGCGCAGGTCCGCGAAGGACGGGGGAATGGTGCCCGTGAGGTTGTTGTGGGACAAGTCCAGAAACTGGGGACGGTACGGAGGGGGGGAGGAGGAGGAGGAGGAGGAGGGCAAAAACGGGGGAATGCGGGGTAAAGATGTGAGCTTCAGGGACAGTGGTTTCGGAGGGGCGGGGGATATGTGAGAGTGTTACAGAGTATATGGCTTCTGGGCCATGCATACATCATATTGTTATATTACCCAATACCCACATACATACATACATACATACATACATACATACATACATACATACATACATACATACATACATACATACATACATACATACATACATACATATATACATACATACATACATACATACATACATACATACGCACCTACCTCGACATGCCTGCACCTCACATTTCCCGGCAGCGAGCCCCCCAGGGAGTTGTTGGACAGATTCAGGTTGAGTAGCGCCGAGCTGACTTGCATCAGGGGCGCCACGGGCCCCGTCAGCTGGTTGCTGGAGGCGTCCAGGTCGTCCAGCCGCAGCCAGGACAGGTAGGGGGGCAGGGGGCCACTAAGGTGGTTGTGGGAGATGTCAAGATGAGCCAGGTTTCCTGGGGGGTGGATCCGGGGGGGGAGGGCAAACGGAGCGCGGGGAGAGCGGGGAGAAGGACATGGGAAGGGACGAAGGAATAAAGAGGTTAGGGAGCGGGGGGAGGCGGGGTGGAGATTTACGGTAGCTGGCATTTAGTTGTACGATGTACAACACATACACACATACGCATCATACGCATGCTCATGCGTGCATACATACACACATAAATGCATACATACATGCTTAACCACCCTGTAACGACATACATACATGCATGCACCTCGGCGGCTTTTCCTGCCCACCGCCTCAACGGACCAGGCCCACCCCCTCACTCCTCCCCCCCTATCTCCCCCCCCCCATACACCCTCACCGGCAGTCCCCAGGTCCTGCTGGGGCTCGGGGAATGCTCCGCGCAGGTGGTTGTCCGCCAGGCTGATGCTGCGGAGGCGGTTGGCGGAGGTGAAGGTGGTGCGGGGCAGCGCGCCGCTGAGCTGGTTGCTGTCCAGGTCCAGAAACTGCTCGTAGGAGAGGGCAGGGGAGGGCAGGGGAGGGCAGGGGAGGGCAGGGGAGGGCAGGGGAGGGCAGGGGAGGGCAGGGGAGGGCTGCATAGATGACGGGCCGGGATGGCCGGGAAGGCAGGCAAGGATTGGCATGGCAGGCAAAGAGGGCAGCGATGCAGCTTCCTTGCGAGACAAAACAAAAGCACTGGGCCCCGCTCACTTTCATCATTCGTTCACTACCCTACTACTACTACTTGCCACCGAAAGGGGGGTGGTGGTGTATCGGGGCCATTTGTGGGTCATTGCAGGAGTGGCCTCCACCGTTGCGAGTACATCGGGCGCACACGGGGGCCCCTTTTTGCGGGTCGGATCGCTTGCAGGGCGACCACACCGCTCCGATGGTGATGGCTCCGATGTGGTGATGACGGTAGCTGTGATGGCGGCAGCAGCGCAGCACTCTCCCTCCCCTTAACCCTTAACCCCCAACCCACCACACCACACCACACCACACCACACCACACCACTACGTCCAGCCTACCCACTCCACGATCATCATCTCCCGGAGAGCTCCCGCATGTGCTTCAGGCACAACAAGAAGCCCCCCTCAGCTCGCCTGGTCAACCGGAACCCCGCGACCAGACCAACTACCCAGCTACAATTCCCAAAGGCACCTACTCATTCAACCCGCCACTTCGCGCAGCAAACAGTCGATCAAGCAGCCATCCGCCCAATCAACGAGCCGGCCCCTCAGCCAGATGCGGTTTGAGAGGGCGGCACCATCACACCACCAGGCCATCCGGATTCCCCCACATTCCCCTCCCGGCTCCAAACAGTAAAAAAAGGCATCCACCCACATCACCACATCACCACCTCTTCAGCATCAACGTTACCTGCAGGGTGGGGTGCGTCATGAGACCCTCCGGCAATGTGCCTGACAGAGAATTGGAGTGCATCATCAGGGCTGTCACCTGGCGTAGGGCCAAGAACGGGTCCAGGGGACCCTGCAGCTTGTTGCCGCCCGCGCTGAGGTACTGCAAGGAGGTCAGAGATGCCAGACCACCAACACCCACATCGCCATTGCTACTGCTACTGCTGCTACTGCTGTTGGTGTCGCCATTGCTAGTACTGCTGTTGTCCGCGGCTACCCAGGTGACCGTGTCGCCAGACAGGTGATTGCCATCGAGCTCTAGGACCCTGCGTGTGCATGTGCATGTGCATATGCAGGGGAAGGAGGACGCGGCTAGATGCGTGAGGTTGTGGGGGTTGTGGGGGTGCAAGGGGGGTGGGGTTCTGGCTGTATAGCAGGGGGGGGCCCACATGTCGTTTGACGTAGTTCATTGAAAGAGTTGAGGGAAGGGAACCGAGCGAAAATGTGCAGTTAGTTAATTCTTTTCGAGTGCGTCGGTAGTAGTAGTAGGGCGCCCCTATACCAGAGGAAAATGCTTCCTGTACGGTGGATGACGTGTTGACGTACACCACCAGTACCCCTGCCCTGGTGGACATGGAACGGTAGAAAGGTGGCCCGACTGGACCCGGCTAGAAAGGTGCTTTCCTCGCTTAGCCCCCAGGGGCAAGGAGCTCGCTGGGGGGGCACCTCACGGAGAGGACGGGGAGTTGGTTGTTTTTGAATGGTTGGGCGAGTCAGCAGGAGGTGAGTTGGTCAGCGGTGGCAGCCGCCCTCCATCACTCACATGAGGGTGGAGCTGAAGGCAGCCCAGCGCACGGCTGCCACGTCACCCATCATGTTGTTGTAGGGGAGGCTGAGCCCCAGCACGCCGCTGGACTCGGAGAGACAGTCCGTTGAGTTCACGTCGGAAAGAATCAGGTCCTGTGTACCGATGGGCCGGAGGAGGCAGCACAACACGCCATCCCACTTGCAAACCGGGATGTCCGACAGCCAGTTTTCCTTCTTCGTCCAGCCTTGACCGGCCCAAGCCGCGTAAAGACTTGCAAGGGCTTCCCGCTGGTTCGCCTGGCATCCTGAATCACAGCTGCGCGTGACAATTTCCGCGTTTTGCTGCAGTCGGCGAAGCGACGATGGCCTCTGGTCATGTTCGCGCGCCGATATCCCTTTTACGACGGGGAATCGCCTTGAGAGAGCTTTGGAGGCAACTAATTGGCTCCGTAGCAAGGGCTTGTGTGTCGCGCAATCTGTGGCAAACACTGTCAGCAACAGTGATAACCACAACGCCCACATCTGCATCAATTCTATGAATAAAAGTCCAACGCTTGCGAGTTACCCCATGCTGCGCGTAACCACACAAGAGTATTGGACAGCCCAGCGCAACACGTTGTTGTCCGAATTCAAAGCCTAGTGTGCACATGGAACTTTTGTTCCATTTCTCTGTTTTGCGTTTTTTTTGGGTGCCGGCAGTGTCTGCCTTCTAGTACTCTACTTATTTGTGGACCCCGGTAAGGTATCGCAGCATCGCATGTCCGTATCTGAGCCTGCTATATCTAGGTCCATGCTCAAAGTTACGAGAAAGCTAGCAGATGGTATGGTGACGGAACTCGGTTAAGGATTCGCACGCCGTACTAAGGCAGTTGGGTCCATAGCTGGTCCATAGGGATCCATACGGGTTGTAACCCATGCTCTGCAGCCGCATCCCTGCTTGACAGCTACAGTGTTACAACAAAGCTAGTATCATAAATAAACTTAGCATATGGTTTGATGCAAGCGGCCCCGAACTGCGCGCGCCCGTAAATGCGAAACGGTTACATCCAGGGTTACATCGCATGACCTGCAAGAATGTGCATCCAGAGACGAAACCTAGCCTCAATCAATGCAGCCATAACAATCAATTGTACATAGTTGAAAATTTAAGTCTGCTTGATCACATAAGTGTGCGCGGGCGAACATTTACATCCCGACATCGCCGCCCTTCCGAATAACTTCGCGCGCCGCACATATATTGAGGAGCTTACGTTACATGGCGCTCTTTGCGTAGTGCTCTAAATTGCAGGCTTTTCCTTCTGCCCAGCCCAATAGTGGCAGCATACAACACGCAGCACGCAGAGCCGACCACAAAAACCCTACCCCGAGGCGAAGGTGAACGACTCTTGTCCGCACAACCTGCCATTGCGCTTAACGCACTTCCCTAAAGGATGGGGATAGCACAAGCAGCTCTTACCGCGTTCATTGGCCCATGTCAAGATGATCATGATAAAGCTCTGCTGAGCTCATGCAGCAGGCAGTCCCAAAAGCAATCCGTTCCCTACCGCACATGTCTCACGCCGTTCCCTGACATGCAGCATACACGAGATGTAAGGTGCTCCCCACCAGACGCGTGTCCTGCTCCGAAACAACTTTCGAAAGCCCAACCGATCTCAGCATTTGCCGGATGACCGCCAAGCGGCCATCCAGATCATGTACCTCCATCACCTGTCGTATGTTTGGCCAGTCGGCGGCGGCTATTCCGTACAGAACGTCCAGCTTCGCGCGCTCCACATCCAACTAGGGTGTCCGGTGGGGTTTGGCACGGGGGCCAGGGTTGATAAGTAGCAGCAGCAGTAGCAGCAGCAGTAGCAGCAGCAGCAGGTACAGCAGTAGCAGCAGTATGCTGGGCGAGTTACAGACAGCCGTATATAACCCCACGCATGGTTAAACGTCAACAACGAACAGACCCCAACAAACAGACAATATGTTACATATAGACGGTGATCGGTAATTCCATCCCTGGGGTGATATTTCAGACACAGCCTGGTAGGACGGCGGTCCCATGTGTATTTGGCCGCACTTCTGCACATCGAGGCAGCACTAATACGCCGGTATTTGTGTTTGGCATGAGTTTGTCATTCATGGGGCTGCCATATTGGCAAAAAACCCAGTTGGCATCAATGCTAGTCCGGTCTTTAGTCGTAGTCGAGCTTGCTGAGGTGTTGTGCATGCCGGTACAGGCCACTTGTTCTTCCTTTCCAGGCTTGTGTCTACAGTGACAGGCGATGTGCCCTTTGGCTCGGTTATTTCGCCTTACGGTATAGGCGGGCTCGGTTATTTCGCCTTACGGTATAGGCGGGCAACCTGGTAGCCCGCTGCAATAACAACAACAGGAAGACTAGGGAGCAGCAACGCCAGCAACCTCACAACTAAAAGTGCTGATGCGACCACAAGCTGCAGCACAGCGGTGGCATCACCATCCCTGGTTTTGAGTCCTCCTCCACCGCTTTGTGCTCTTCTCATAAACACTGTCATGAAAAACGGTCTTGCGCTGCTCCAGCTGCAGATGGCGGATCAGCAGCAGCTACTGGCTAAGCAGCACGAGGTGTTGGCTTCTGTGGTGAAGGTCCTGACCAAAGGACAGTGAACCCTGCAGTCACTGCCCTCTCTCCGCTGCAGGCTGGAGCGGCATCGGTTGCCCAATAAGAACAAGGACAAGAAGAAGCACGACAGCTCCAGCTGCACAAACACCCGTCCAACAAACTTGAACAAAAACCCGTCCAAAGCCCCAGCAGCTGCGGGATGGGAGGATGGCCTCCATTCCTTCATCCGCGCTCATGCGCCTGGTGGTGTGCTCAGTCCCTTAGCCTGCACCCCTAAGCCACCAAAGGCACTAGGGCACCACAAACATCGCTATCAACAACCATCTTTCGCGCCTGAACGGCAAACGGAGGGCGGGTGAATGAACGCGGCCCTAGGGCACCCTCGGGGTGTAACCTTGTGCTTGCTTGACGGTTTTACATCACACGACCAGTACACCCACCACACACCACTACATTACGCCACACACCACTACATTACACACCACCACATTCCAACAATCATACCACGGGAAAACAAACGCACTAGGCGAATAGTTAGTAGTTTGAAGTATGAGCACGACGTGAGCATAATATCTTGAATGTATAAGGGGGTCGGGAAAGAGTTATGTACGGCTGTAGGGCAAGGGGGTGTCAGCATTTGTTTATCTTAATAATTTGAGCGGTGGGTCGATGCGGTCGGGGCCCTGCTACGAGATGACCTTGCTGAGGGGCACCCGTGCGCACCTCTGCACTGCTGCTGCTGGCCCGACAGCATAAGGCACACGTAGAGTGAGAGGCGGCGGCGAGCAGCAGTGGCCGAAGCGGGGGAACCCGCTGCCAGAGCATACATGCTGCTGCACGGACCTGCCCATGCGGACGAGGAGGGAGACGGGCAGGAAGGGGGGAGAGGAGGGGGGAAAGGGTCAAAAGACTGCCAGTCGGTGTTGCCATCCATATGACCAACGAGGCGAAAAGGCGGCAGTGGAGCTATGGAAGGGCAGGTGGCTAGGGGCAGACCAGGTGGGGCTCCCAGCAAGGCGGCGGGCAGTGGAACACATGTGCCGGGGAAAGAGGCCAGGGGTGCCTGTCCCAGCCCCCACTGGGCGATATAGCCGCACAGATACCCTCCGTCCCCTCATCTCCCCTCCCCCGGACACCGGCCACCCTGGAACACCCCCTCTCTCGATCCGCCAGGCCGGGCTCAGGCGCCTCGTCTCTGTGCTCCTGATGTGGCGGCGGCTCGTGTGCCTGCGGCTGTTGCTGCTGCAAAGGTGAGCTCAAAGGTGGAGGTCAGGGGCTCCAGCGCCACCACCCGGCCCCAGGTCCTACTTTCCTGGCTGCCAACAGCGTGAAGAGGCCCGTGTTGGCGCCCACATTCACAACCCGGCCAATAGGGTGAATGGTCACCCGCAAGAGGGGTTTGGAGGGGGTACGGCGAACCACAAACGAGTGAATTAGATACCTGGTAGATAGATAGATAGATAAAGGGTAGGGGGGAAAGCGGGAGAGGAGGAGGGAGGGAGAGGGGTAGGAAATGCCGGCGCCTCCCTCGCCCGGGGATTTGGGTCCAGGGGGGGGTGGGGGCTTTCCCCGTGCCGCAAGTGCACGCGGTCTTGGATCACCTCGCGGTACAGGAAGTTGAGGTCTTCAATAGTGAAGTGCCTGAGGTGGGATGGACAATGAGTTTTAACACCAGGGAGAGGGAAGAGGGCGCAGGCTTTGGTGTCAAGTAAATGAAGCCATTTGGCCTACCGCAGCACAGGCCGCTTTCCAAAGAAAGAGTTTTTGTATATGCATGAACGGTGGGACAGTGATAATGTCGGATGGGACGGTGGACACGGTATGGACAGGCGTGCGCGGATTACTTCCAAGGACGGCTTGGCCGCTGCGCGCTTCTCTGCAGCAAGCTTCTTGGAGATGTTAACGGGTTAATATGGTTTTATTGCAGATATGGTATGAGATGTGCAGGATCCGTTCCAATCGTACCGTGACAGTTACGTTGTACCGCTTGCATATACCTACCCTCTTGCCGAAGTCAACGGCGGCAATTGTGTTTTTCGAAAGGGCGTCTCCATATGCCAGACAATAATTTTATTCCTTGCTCGCCGGATAGGCGAAGATGGATTGGCTCCTGCTTGCGCAAGGCTTAAACCTGATTGGGTGCAATTTTTACTACGTGACCTTGGCCATCCTGTCTCTGCCATCCCTTCTGCTTTACTATCTCGGTCTTCGCAAGGGCAAGGAGGCAGATGACGCGCAAGGCAGTGCGACATTTTACGAGGGCCAAGTGCTTCACATCCGGAGAGCACCTGTACACAATCAATTTCGGTAAGCATGGAGTCCGAAGCTACAGAGTTATGCCAATGTGTGCGCGACCAGTTATGCCATCTGCTAACTGCGAAAGACGCCCTCCACCTTACGCGCTGAGTGTCTCGCAGACCGATCGCCAACCCGGGTAGCCCTTCTTTTCCCCCTTACGGTCCGAACCCGTTGGACAAACCGGTACATAACCTCAGGTACGCCGTACGGATGGCTGTGCTAGACTTGGACGCACCGCCCAGCTGGTTCAAGTCCCAAGCCAAGGATCACATGACTGCTGATGAAGCACGCAAATTCGCTGGCACATCAGGTACTGCGCACAAACACATATCGCATGCGTACTGGTCGTCTCGTGTCTCCTTCACGGCTTACCTCCCCAGGCTCGAAAGCCGCGCTCCTCCTCCTCCTCCTCCTCCTCCTCGTTTTCCGCCTCAATCTTGATGGAGCCGAAAGTTCCCGTCTTTGCAATTGTTGCCCCTTGTCGACACCTGCAGCCGATGGACCTGCAATCCCGAAATCTTAACGTCCCCAAGCACCCCCACTCCCCACCTCCTTACCTGATGCGCTTTTCTCAAGCCCGGCACTGGGACCTCGCGCCCCGCCCAACTACCAACCACCAAACCGCACAGGCTCCGTGAAGCTCTTGACCGACCCCGTGTCGGCCGGCTACGTCCAAAACCCCATCAACGTCTACTACTGCTACAGCGGCGGCAGCAAAAGCGGCACCAGCGGGGCAGGAAGCGGTGTCGGCGGCGAAGGCGGCGGTTCGCGGCTAGAGCGCTGTATTGCCGAGGTGGGAGAGTGTGTTTTCAACTTACCCGAACCCAAGAGAGTGAGGGAGAAAGAGGGAAGAGAGATTTAGAGGCGGAGTAATGACGAATGTACTACAGGGTCTATGTGGGTGCGTGGGTGTAGTGTCGCAGGTATGTATTGGGTGCAGTGAGGTGGTGGGGGCTCGAACTTTTGAAATCCGGCAATTCATTTCGCGGCCCCCAGGGCGGCCCAGAGCCCGCCCCCTCCCTTGTGACCCCCGGTGCCACCCCGAGCCCCACCCCGAGCCGCGCTCTTGCTTTCCTGAAAAGCTTCGAAACCGGCAGCATCGCCAACTGACTGTTATTATTGCTGGTTTCTTTAGTTTCGTGATTCTTGTACCCCTGGTCTTCCCTTTTCCCGTTTCCCATTTCTGCCGTTTTACCGCCGCTTCGATCCTCTTCCCTCTGTACCCCGGGGGCCCCCAAAGGTGACAAACACGCCGTGGAACGAGCGCGTCAGCTTTGTGTTTCACCCGGGGGGGGAGTCGGTACGCAAGGCGCTGCACGTGTCGCCGTTTATGGACATGCAGAACACCTGGTGCGGTGGGTAGTGGGTGGGTGGGTGGGAGGTGTGGACGGGTGGATGGGTGGGCGGAAGTGAGCAGCTGTAGCTGCCGCAACAACCGGGTCTTGTTTCCGGGTCTGGGCTCGGGCTGCCACGGCCGTGTGCTGATGGGCGCATGACAGCGGTCGGTGGGGGCGTCCCTTGGGGCGATGTGGGTCTCCCGGAGGGCTGGCGGGGTTCCCCCTCTTAAGCGCGGCTGAGGGAGGGGGGGAGAGGGGGGGGAAAACACAACGGTCCGCTCCACACACACGGTATGACATTTGCTCGCATCTGGGCCTTGATCGATTCCACGAGGCCCCTTTCCATGCCTCTGTCAGCCTGTGAAAGGTGCAGCAGCCCCGCGCCTTGTTTGCCATCCTCCGCGTCCTCCGCGCCGCTGGCGCCCCCCTCACCCCCAACCGTTACCCCCCCCTATGAAATGCTCCGGCGGTTAGTGCTTTGATGGGCGTTGGTCAATGGGTGTAGCCGACGCTTGACTTTATCCGTCGTTCACCATCGCCCATCTCCCCGTTGTCACTTCCCCTCGGACGCGGACGCGGACTCTTTCCTTTCTTGGCGCACCCGCAGGCACTTGGAGGCCCCCGAGCCGGCAGATCGTCTGAAGCTCGTGGTGCGCGCCTCCCACCCCGTGTATGGAGACTACTTTTACGCTGACCTGGTGGGACGTCGAGCTGCGCACCCGCAGCGCGTGAATGAGGAGGCCGGGTTGGGGACCCTGCTGCGATATGGGTTCATGCCGCACCGGGTGGCGCTCCTCATCTACTGGCAGGTGTGTGCGCGTGTATGTGTGTGTGTGTGTGCACAGCACGCTTCCAATTCACACGGGGCCTTATCACCCACTTCGGCGTGCCGGCCTCGCCGTTTCTCCCACAAGATGTTTGAAGGGTTATTCGGCTGGTGGATTGTTGGCTTGCGTACCCCGGGTGCAGGGCCCCCCTTCGGGCTCGGAGCCAGACTGCCCAATTGCCGGCCGGCTGGGTCCAGCGGACGACCCCACAAGACCCTTTGCTGTGCTGTGCTGTCACACAGGCCGTCAAGTTGCTGTTCAAGGGAGTGCAGTTTTACTCGCCGCCTAGCAAGGCCTATCAGCGAGAGCTGGTCGCGGAGGAGGGCCAGCAATGTCAACAACAACAACAACAACAACAACAACAACAACAACAACAACAACAGCAGCAGCAGCAGCAAGGAGATAAGTTGGGGCAAGAAGGAGCGATCTCCAAGATTAAGACACCCGCAGTAGCTACGAAGCCAGCCGTAATGGCAGACGGAGGTGCTGGGGGTGGGTTCTGTCCGGTAGGCGGGGCGGCTGTGTGGGGCGCTGCCCAACACACGCACCCTCGTAACGGCGTCACGGGGAAGCATTTCATGTGGAGGGAGGCGCCCACATGGCCGTGGAGGGAAGGCTGACCTGGTGTTCGTTAAGGTGTTTTCTTTTTCAAGCTGGAAGTTTTTGTTGGAGGCTACGGTTTTGGGGGCCTGGGGACTACAATAATGCCCAGCAGGTGGTGATTGGTTTTTATTTTTTCAATGTATGACCTTTCGCTTTTTCCTACGTGTGTACGACCATCTTGACGGCGCGCGAACATCCAGCAGACCGTTGAGATAAGACTATATCTAGACTCGTGAGATAAGACTTTTGCTATGTCGTACGGTGGTATGGCGGGCGAGGAAAGTGCACGACGGCGCGGGACTCGACAGGGCGCCGGTCGGCTGTTTGTGATTCCTTTTAGCCGACCTCCCAAGTTTTTCATCGGGCCGCACAAAGCTTTTTCGTTTCCTGTGAGTATGTTTGATCCGCAATCCTATGTGCCTGTCTGTGATACGCGGCTAAGCTTAGCAACTTTGTTTAATTTTGGAGACTCTGGTTTGTGGATGATAGCCAGGGATGGGGTGTGAGGGCATTTTGCAGCCACATGTGTCAATCCTTTCCCTGGCTGGAAAGCAGCCCGAGTTGCAGATCACAGCCCCGGGGGGAGAGACAGATGGCGAAATGGGTCGGGAATGGAGGCGTGAAGCGCACGCACGGATTCTGTGAGGTGCCATGCAGGGCTTACCAAGAATGCCGGGCGTACCTGCCTGCTGTGATATATATACAAATACGAACAATCCATACACACACGCACACCCTTCCCAAGCATACGCGCTGTTTTCTATACCCGCACGGAAACAGAACCGCTACTTTGAAATGCACGAGCGAAACACAATATATGATCGCACGCCCCGTGACGTGCTTTACATGATACTCCTCCTCGGAGTGGTGTTGCCCCGCTTTCTCCCCCCCCTGTATCGCTCTCCTGCTGAGCAGTCCAGTTTAGAAAACCCAGAAATGCCTTTTAGCTGCTCGGACCTCTGTCCCATAGTCCTTACACTCGGCTACAGAGTATACAGCCGATGACACGGTGGTGGGTAGGTGGGTGGGTGGGCAGGCGGTGGAGGACGCCGGAGGCGGCCACGAGGGCTACGCTGGTGCTGGTGCTGAGCATCTGACATCGGCGCTAATATCATGATGATGATATGTGCGGTGTAGATATGGATGGGACGGAAATGTCATCAGGTGCGTTGTCTCCATTTTGGTCAGGTCTCCTCCAGTGCCATGCGGTAGTAGCGGTGGTGGCGGTGGTGGCGACGAGCGGGTGTCAGGGTTAGGATGATCCGCGCCAACAAGTTAATGGAATCGGACCAGAGCGCGGCTGCGGGGCGGGGCGGGTGCTAGGAGGCCGCGGCGGGCTCCTGCTTGATGGCTTTGTCCACCCCCTCCTCCTTGGCGGCCTTGGCGGGGTCCTTCGCCGGGGAGGACGATGTGGCCCGAGGGGAGGTCGCGCCGCGGAGTATGAACTGCCTGACATACATACATAACGAATAACAAACAAACCGGAGCGGAGGGAGGGATGTGACAGGACCTGAGTTGACTGCCGCAGTACGGCACACGAACGGCAACAAAAATTCAACGTAGCGAAAACGTTACACAACGGTGCAGTGGCATGCCGAGGGAGGTTCACCACTTGCGTTTCCTGAAGCAGCGAAGGGAAGTAGCGGGGCATGCCGGCCGCCGCCGTCGGGCGCTTCCCCAACCCACGATATTGGACCCGACAGGCCTAGCCCTCGTCCTCCCCTACCTCATTTTCCTTCCCCCGTCCACGGAAGAAAAATGAGGTACACAACGCACACACACACACACGCACGTACACACACACACACGCACGCACGCACGCGCACCTGTGTTGGTCCAGCTCCGCCAGGGCCTCCTCATAGGGCCTGTAGATGAGGTCCATGATGCGCCACACCTAGCGCGGCAAGGGGGGAGGGGGGGGGGGACGCACCACGAACGAGTGGGGAGGGGAGGGCCGGGGAGGCCGACAGGTGGTTGTGACTGCAAAGCCTGAGAGGGCCGTCAGAAACAGGAAGAGCCCCGTAGTTGCAGAGAGGACTTTCGATTCAACGGGTGATGTGCTGAGGCGCTGCGGTGCATTCTTTCACCTGGGAGTAGAGGGGCCTATCTCGTCTATCCTCGTGCCTACCATCTTGCCGCTCCTTGCCCTTCCCCCTCCAGCCCAGCTTCACTCCCCTCTTTCAACCCCCCTTCATCTCCCCCCCCCCACGTTCCCACAACCGCACCTGCAGGGTGCCGTCGTTGTGGTCATCATCGCTGTTGTCGGACACACTGATCAGGGTCCAGGGCTCCGAGGGCAGCCACTGGAAGTCGGTTACTCGCTGAGCGTGCAAAGGGGAGAGGGCGGGGGAGAGAAGGGGGGAGAGAGGGGGCGGGGGCAGAAGAGATTGCGGGCAGGAGCGGGCCGAAAAGGGGAAGAAGAAGGAGCGCTACGAAAACCAAATACGTGGGAGAAGGGAGAAGTGTACCGGGCCGACAGCGGCGGCGTGGGTGTGAGGGTTTTAGGGATAATATGACGCGCCGGGCCCCGGAGACAAGCGCGCAGAGAGAGAGAGGGTGTGTTTTTGTGTGTGGTGGTGGTGGTGGTGTGGGGGGAAATGTGAGACCGGGGACCGGGGGCCGAAAGGAATAGCGGAAAGTGAGAGAGGGAGCTGAATGCAAGCGCGCTGGCTATCACAACGCAGCCCAACCAGCTTCAACCCTACACCAAAACCACACAAGGCGCTCAAGACAACTACCGGTACTAAACACGTAGCTGCCTTAAGTAGCTCTCCAGGTCTCTTTGCTCCCGAAACTTTACCGACACTTACGTGTTTCGGACTTCTTCTACAGTCGGCCCTTCGAAATGCCGCAGCCGGCGATGTGATTTTTGAATTGTCATTATCATCATCATCGTCATCATCTCGTTTATTTCCCGGCCCCAATCAATACCACCAAACACCCGCATGTTGCCCCCCAGCCCAGCCCAGTCCACCTCACCCCGGATCGGTGCCCAAGGTGGCGGAAGATGAGCTGTGGCGGAATGTCCTCCGGCCCTGCCGCCGCCGCACCTTTGGCCCCCCCCGCGCCCGCGGCACCCTGCACAGCCCCCTCCTTGACCCCGCTGCTGCGACCCCTCTTCTTCCCGGGGCCGGCTACTGCTGCTGCTACTGCTGCAGGCACCTTGCCCTTATCCATCTCTTTCTCTTTATCCGCGCCGTCGGCCGTGGCGGCGGCCATTACTGCGGCGCCATTACTGCTCGGCAGGTCCGACTCGCTGCCCCCGGCGGGTGCTATCCCCGCCATGCCCCCCGTGCCGCCGCCACCTGCAGCGCCTTCCGCTGCTACTGCCGCCGCCGCCTTCGCCTTGTTGACCTCCGCCTCCACCCTGCTGGGCGACAGGTCCCAGATGGCGATGGTGTGGTCCTCCGACCCGCTCGCAAACACATCCTGAGGGGGAACAACCCATCGGAGGTGGAGGGAGGGAGGGAGGGTGGATGAGGACGACGAAGCACAGACGATTGTCGAAAAGACATTCCAGGGACGGAGGGGAGAGGGTGACAGGGGGGGTGAGGGGGGGGATCACATGCAAGGAGAAGCAAAGGGTGCGAGTGGATATGGGGGGTTGCATTACGGGCATAGTACAAGGCAGGGGGCTCTGAGTTTGGCAGACGAAGACGATTTGCCCCTTTGCTCTTCCAACCCCCCTCCCTTACCTTGCATGTGGGGTGCCACTCCACGTGTATGACCTCCGACTGCTGCTGCTGGTGGTGGTGGTGATGGCCGGGGGAGGCGGGGGTGGTGCGGTGCGCATGGAAGTGGTAGAGGTGGTCGCTGCGGGAGGACATTCGCCGCCGGTCCCACACGTGCAGACTGCCGTCCTGCCCGCCTTCAGATTCCGATTTGGCAGGGAGGGGCGAGACGGAGAGAAGAAGGGGTTGGATGGAAAGAGAGGGGGATGGAGAGAGGGTTGGCGAGCGAAGGGACGGGAATCATGAAGACGATGCAAGGAAGGGGGGGTCGCAAGGTGGGGTGGGGCCAATCGCACAATAACATGCGAATGAGCGATTGCCAAAGAAAAAAGCGCGAGGGGGCCCTGTGGTGAGCGCAGGTGACTGAGAGGGGGCTGAAAAGGGGGGAAGAAGGAGTCCCGCCCTCCCCCTTCCTCCCTCCTGAACCCACCCACCCCACTCACCCAAACCCAAACCCGCACGCAGACGCACCACTCACCCGTCACCAGCAGGTTCTCGTCCAGGGGGCACCAGTCCACGCACATCACATTGACACCGACTCCGTGCGCATCCGCCAGCTCCCCCACGAAACCCAAAACACACGCGGTCGCCCCTCCGTCCCCCCCTCCCCCCCCTCCTCTGCCCCCTCCAGCTCCAGTCCTCAGGTCCCAGGTCAGTATGCGGCCGTCATCCGCCACACTGACCAGCACCTGGCTACCCCCCGGCTGGAACACCAGGTCTCCCACGGTGGCGGTGTGGCCCTCCAATCGCCACCGAGCTGGGGGGGGGAAAGGGGGGCCCAGGAGTAGCAAGGAGGGCGTCGGGTTTGAGGAGGACGGGGGAGTGAGCGCTGTCAGACTGCTGCGGTGGTGGCCACAACTACCCCCCTTACCCGCAAAACCCTTCACCCTTCACCCTAGTTCCCCCCACTCCATCTCCCGTCTCCAGGCCCCAATACCCCGCCCACACCAACCCAATTCCCATTACACTTACATACATACATGCATACATACATACATATACACATACATATACACACATATACACCCACGTTTTAGCTCCGTTGCCTTCCTTCCGGACGTCCCTTCTCCTCCTCCTCCTCCTCTCCCAGCCAGAGTGGATGACACGTGGTCGTTCAGGTCCCACACCAGCACCAGCTGGTCGTTACCGCCGCTGCCCACTCGCGGCTGGGCGGCGCTGCAGGCCAGGGGGAAGGGCGCATCGTCCTCGTGGCCCACCAGCACCAGGTCGGGTCGGGAGGGGGCGTCGGAGGAGGAGGAGGAGGAGGACTTGTCGCCACCGCCGCGGGCTCGGCCCTGTAGGGGCGGTACCACGAGGAGGAGAGCGAGGGGGAGGCAGAGGCGGAAGGTTTGGGAGGCGAGAGGGGGACGGGAGGAGGACTGGTACGGGTTGGGACGGGAGGGAGGAGGGAGGAGGGGAAAACACATACACACCGGGAGTGACGGATTGTCAAGGGGCATGGGGCTGTCCCCCATGACCCGGCCCCCAAAGACCGCGCCACGAAGCGTAGACGTGAGCCGTCTGGACAGGATAGATGGTCGGAGGGGAATCCTAGGAAACGTAGAGGCGGCAGCGGCGGCGGCGGCGGATGCTGATGATGCGGGGGTACCTCCCCCCCCTGTCCCGGTGTCCGCATGGCGACTGTGTCGACCTCTACCAGTGGCAATACCACCGCACAGCACCACACTGCCCTGCCCTGCTAGCGCACCTTTGCCGCCACCGCCGCCGCCGCCAGCCCCGCTGACTGCGGCCGCCTGTTGGGCTGTTGGTCCATGTTCCATACGTACAGCTGGGGGGAGTCCGTGTGCGTGACCACCACCTCGGGGTGCTGCGGGATCTCTCGAACCTTGTTCACCTGGGGAGGGGGGGGGAGGGAGGGGGGGGGGCCCAGGGGGCCCAGACGCAAGGAAGTGGGAGGTGAACTGTTTCGGTGTCCAAGGTCCGAAACTGCCCCTAGTGAGGGAGACCTAAGCGGTGATGTGTGAGGGCGGGGGAAGGGAGGAGGGAAGGCGGGGCCTGGGGAAGGGGAGAGAGCCTGGCGGGAGGAGGAGCCCCATGGGACGCGAAGTGGATATATTGATAGACAGACAGACAGACAGGCAGATTGGAGGACAGGTGAAATGAAAAACCCAATGGCGCACGCTGAACTGACAAGACGAAGTGAATGTTTGAATGACTGAATGAAGGGCGACCCATGGGTCACTAGGGGGTTTCCGCCACCGAATTTGTCAGTTGGTCGGTTAGGTCGTTGTACCGCACCCACCCACCTCCCCCGGGTGGTAGATTGTCTTGACGATTCGCACGTGGGGCGCCTGAGACCTCTCTTGCCAGTTGGACACCGCCTCGCATGAGGCCACGTGGGGCTGCCAGGAGGGGTGGTAGCGGAGTGGGGACGAATGGGAGGCAGAAGGTAAAGGAGTTGCAGGAGAGGTGAGTGGGCATGAGAGTGTGTGTGTGTATACAAAAACTGCATGTGTATGTATAAATGTATGTATTCACCCCCCCCCTTCTTCCCCTCTTTCTCCCCCTCCCCGCATCTCCCCCCCCAAACTCCCGCACCTTGAGCACGTCTATGTGTGCCAGAATAAGCGTGTCGGGTTTGGAGCCGTCCAGGACCTGTCACCGGGGGCCGGGGGCCGGGAGGCCGCCGGAGAGCAAAGGAAATCAGGAGGGGGCGGGTTCGGAGGTGCGAAGCTGCAGCAGAGAGCATGGACCGGGATGGCGGCTCCCAGGCGGAGTTGGTGGCAGCGGGGCGGGAGAGAGGGAGCGCAGGACGTGCAAACCCACGAGCAGAGCAGCCGGGGCCCCTGTAGCCATCCAGTCCCACCCCGCGCTCCCAACGGAGGCTGGGAGCCTCCCCCACCCCACCCGACATCATCACGACGTGCAAATACGCCGTCAGGCCATCCGGGCAGGTCCTTTGTGGAGGACCGGGCTCCCGAACACAAGGGCCCCGGAGAACCCCTTTCCTTTGAAATCCCAATCCCCTGCCCTGCCCTGCCCTGCCCCGTCCGGGCTGCAAGGGGGGAATGCGGCGGAGTAGATCCGTTACCTCCCCCCCACACACACACACCCAAGCAGCGACTCCAACTCTACTGCCACCAGCACCAGCACCACCGTGTGTGTTTCTCAGCCGGACTCGACATTGACCCCTCTAACCATCCACCCACCCAGTACGATAAACTGCCAACCGCCGGGCAGCAAAACCCAACCTTCGTCACATCCCCGCCCTGCCGAGAATCCCAGGGGATGGAGGTGGAGGTGGAGGTGTACATACAAACGTACTGTCCCCGCCGCCGCTGTTGCTGTCACCGTCACGGGTGCCGCCTGAAACCCATTATTTCCCCTTTCTGACACTTCTTCGATCCTAAAGTTGGTAAGTGGCCCCTGCCTCAAGGATCTGTTAGAACTCCCCAATCCCCCCCCCACACACACAAAGACACACACAGCTCTGGCGCCCGAATGGTGAGCTCTTCGTTGGCCGCCCGGACTTCACCACGACCATGGTCCATGTGGGTTTCGTTTTCCCCTCCTCCCCCCCCCGTGGACAACCCCGTGGACAACCCGCCATGTCCGTGCTGTGCTGTGCTTATTCATACAGTGCTGTGCCAAGCTGAGCCGCCTCAGACCTGCTCGGACAGATAGGCGCGGTACTTGGTTTTATAGCCCAGGTCTTCGACTTTAGGCCCCCATCTGCGAATGAAGGGGCGAGTAGCGAGTGTGTGTGTATGCGACAGGGGAAGGGGGGAAGGGGGGAAAGGGGAAGGGGGGAAGGGTAATGGGGTTTGGATCAATGAATAAGGTGCGTGAGGAGGGTCAGGAGGTGGGGTTGCGGAGGTGCCGTGAGACCGGGGCTGTGTGTAGGCGAGAGAGCGGGTATCGGTAGAGACAGGAAGTGGAAGAGGGAGAGCGTGAAGGTTGAGACGCGGCCGATAGAACATTAGATGGAAGGCCTAGAGGGGCGGGCGTCAGTTTGAATGAGGGCGAAGACATGAGCGGTGGTGAGTTCAGGGTTGGTTTCACGGTGGGTGGGTCGTTGACCTTTGCGGCGCAATTGGGTGACGGTCCAGGTGAACGGGCAGCTGGTTGACCCGGCAGTAGGGCGGCAAGGAAAGGAGTCAGCGGGGAGAGTTGACAATACTTAAGGGGATGTGGATGGTGTTTGTTGCCGACGCAGTGCGCCTGTGCCCGTGCGGTGGGGTCGTGATGGGCGGGCGCAGCTTCGGAGCAACATAAAGCAGAACAGCTCGAGCAAGAAAAGACAACTTCCGCCGCTAAGAAAACCAAAAATTACATGCACAGTACGGAAGTTGGGCGCGCAGGACATTTTGCTGTGTCTGCGGGAAGTGTGGGACTATGCGAACTCCGTCAACGCTGTATGCAAACCACCTACTCCCAGTTCCCTTAAGTCGTAACGATAGCTCACCTGCACGTTTGCGTTGGGTAGCTTAGATGATAATGCATGAACCTGCAAGTTTGGCGGATTCAAAGGGGTCAACGGCTTAGTAACGGCCGCATTGTAATCAGATTGTAGATTTAATCTTTCATACAATCACACACCAGTCATACAAGACTGGGATCATTCTTCGCTTGTAGGCTTCAAAGCTGGTATCTGATAAGAGCGCCATCTTTGGGGCAGCTCCTGCTACGTTAGACAGTCTTGATGTGTGGCTACATTGCTTTGTCTGAACTCTACACGAGCAGCGGTGAAATTACCACAGCTTCGGAGCCTCGAACGGTATTAGTTGGATTTTTTGCTGTGGAGTTGAATAACGCACAGAATCAAGTGGATACAAATACAGTTTTGTACGTTCATGGGTTGTTTCCAGGACGCAAAACTTATACAGCGGTTGATTGGCCTTTGAGTGAGTTTCGCGTTTAACCTCCAGGCTTGAGCCCCCTAGCAAGTGGTCTTTTGTAGGTTGCATAAAAGGTCCAAAATCTTGTAGGAAGGTAGGGGATGCCAATAAATTATTTGAACCTCCTTTTGACAGTCACCCGAAGATGACAGAAATTTGAAGACCATACAGTAGAAAAAGGAGCATCATGCAGAACTTTGATCATTAAATTTTCTGTCATCTTCGGTTAACCGTCAAAAGGAGATTCCAAAGCAAGGGCAGATTTAGGGCTTTGTCGATGACCCGTCGTAACAGAAACGACGCATGTGCACTGGAGCACGAGACAAAAGACCGAGGCGCGACGCAACATTTGCATAAAAAAATCATAACCCGTTTTGGCGCCAAGCGTGATGAGTTGGCCTCTCCACGGGTTAACAAGGGCCCCGGAAAACACCCGTGAAGCTCTGGTACGAAGGTCTGTGCTTAATATTAAAAGCTCCCCGATCATGTGCACCTGTGGACAACCCCAGAGTAATTGCAAAGTTTTTTGAATTAACCGACCCATATCAGCGACAGCGACGTCGCCGTGCCCTGACTCGAGTCCGGAACCTTGTGAAACCTTTTGCGGTATCTACCGTATGACATCATTTCCATACTCCACATCCCATATGTATAAGGCTTGTCCTGAAGTGCAGACCTTCAGAACCGTTGTCCCTCCGCCACGTCGTGCATTCGCCAACACGGTCCGTCCTGCAGCGCCCGCCGAGCCCTGCTTCGAGCTACCTGCTGAACGAGTCCCCTCTGTCCCTACTTCAACCCATCAGTAACCACCGCCACCGCCACCACCACCACCACCACCACCACCATCACCACCACCGCCACCACCGCCACCACCACCACCGCCACCACCGCCACCACCACCACCGCCACCACCGCCACCACCACCACTGTAGTCCCTTCCCAGAAGGATAGAAGCCCGGAGCGCAGGCTAGGACAAGGTACCGATTTCATCGACCAATTTTCGCCTCCTTCCCCCTCCCCTTCCCCCTCCTCCATCCTCCATACCCCCCTCCTCAGCCGCAGCAACAGCAGCAACAGCAGCAACAGCAGCAACAGCACCTCATCAGTCCTCATCATCCAGCAGTGGCCCCGGTGGCGCAGAAGCTCGCCGCCCTCACACGCACCCGGCTCGCAGCCATCTCCAGGACCCTGATCTCCGGAGACTGGTCGGCGTTTGGGGCAGCAAACCACCACCACCTAAACAATCACTTCCTTAAATTACATCAACATCAGCAGCCGCCGCAGCACCATCACCCAACCGCCCAACCACTCAAACACCCAACAGACCCAAACACCACCACCATCGCCGCCGCCGTCATCACTGCAGCTGCCACCACCGCCACCGCCACCGCAGCTATCCGCGACAGCAACAGCGACAGCGCCTTCACAGATGTTGCTCTGAGATTTCCGGCTGCAGTTGCGGTGGTTTCAACTCCGTCAGCGGCAGCAGCGGCAGCGGCAGCAGCAGTAACAGTATTGCGTAAGTGTAAGAGGCAGCGGCGACAGGAGGCGGTCCTTACGGCAGTTCAGGTGTCCTCGGAGGAAGGGAACCTCCTTATGGCAGAGAAGGCGGAGCACCCTGCATTGGTGGTAGAGAGCATGTCGGCTGTACGGCATTTGAATCTGTATGACAATAGCCATGTCGGGGCTATTGAGGATGAGCATCGACAGCAGCCGCCGCCGCCGCAGCAGCAGCAAGGGCGGGTTGATGAAGGCCCCGAACAAGGACCAAAAGATGAGCTGAGTGACGCGGTGGCGGCGACGACGGTGGCGGCGCGGCGGGCCGCTGCTGCCGCCTCCGGGGCGATGGTAAGCGCCCTGTCTGCAGCAACGGCGGCGGCGGGGCAGCAGCAGCAGCAGCAGCAGCAGTGTGATCAGGCTGCGGCGCCGCCGCCGCCGCTGGCAGCGCATCCGGCAGCAGCATGGCGGCCGCGGCGAGAGCAGCACAAGGCGAAGGTGGAGGCCGTGAAGAGCACCGGTGGAAATTGGTGCTCCGCCAGGGTCGGGGGTTGGCGGGGCGGCGATTATCCGAGCAGGTGCGTCTAGTCCTAACAGTCAGTCGGAAGGTCAAGGGAGGGAGGGAGGAGGCTGCTGCTGTAGAGGCCCGATGAGTTGTGTGAGTTAAGTGCGGTGAACGAGGGGGAGGAGAGGGAGATTGCTGAACGCCCGTCTCCGGAGCAGCAGTAGCAGCGGCAGTAGCACGGGGTTTTACACCCCAGGTATGTGCGGGGCTTTTAGGGGCTTCCCTCCCGCTTTCAATTCCCCCTCGCCAACTTAGCTTGCAAGTGCTGCTTGCACTGAATCCTTGAAGTCCCAACACACTAGTTTGCTCACTCCCATTCATGACACCACCACAACCACAACCACAACCATCAGCAACACCCTTCAATTAGCCTACACTACATACACATCACTACAAATCACGACACATCACTACACACTACTACACACCACGACACTACGTCCGGCGCCCCAGACCCCCCAGGGACCCCCAGGTGCCCCCCCGCCCCACCCACTTCCTGGCGCTACGTCTGTCCCACGTGTCGACAGTTACCGAGGCCATTGAGCGAGTGAGTGGTTACAGGGGGTGAGAGGGGCACCTAAAATGGCAGCTCTTTCCTTCTTTGTTATTCATTATCGTCCAAGGCAGGAGGAAGTTGCACTTTCTGAGTATGATTCCCCCGCCCCCTCCCCTCCCCCTCC